GGGGCCACAAAGCAATCCAGGTAAAGCCCTATCACTTGGGTCCTTGGACTCTCAGGGTTAGTCAGAGGAAGCCCTGAAACGTATTCTAGACTTCCTTACAGGAGCAACCCCTAAACCCTAAACCCTACGCATTAAAACGTAAACCCTAAACCGGATTCTTTCTAAGGGGCAGGGACAGAATCAGCTGGAAATTGTCGGAGCACTTCTTCACAAACCTGACCAGGCTTTTGATACGGGATTGCTGAGTCGTCCAGTAGATGGAGGAACCCTAAGCCCTAAACACTGGCACCACTTTGGATTCCCCTTGTACTTCTTTACATTCCCCATGTAGAGGATATGCAAGATTTCCTCCATCCACAAACCCTAAGCCTAAAGCCTAAACCTAAGCTCAGCAGGGAACACTAGGCAGCTTGCGGAAGAGGAGGTTTAGAGGAGAATATTGAGACGAATCCCAAAGGGTTCAGATACACGATTCACGGTAGTCATATACTTGCCCGAAGTCTGCTCTAGAAATACCAGTGCCAAAATCCCAAGCAAGAACATAATTGGGTACATGGACCCAAATAGGGAGCAGGGACCTCAGCTCCTTGAACCACTGCCCCGTAAGGACCTTGTAAAAAATGCTCTTGTAAGGACCCTGAACCTGCCAGATACCTAGCCCTAAGGGTCCAAGGACCCAAATAATAGTGTTTTAGGGCCCAAATACCAGTAACATTATTGGTATTTGGGCCCTAAAACACTATTATTTGGGTCCTTGGACCCTTAGGGTTTCAGGTTTAGGGACGAGGGAAACGGAACAGCCTCAGTAGAAGCGATGCTTCCGGACTTGTCGGTTGCAGGGTACTGCCTTTGCATAGCCCAGAAAGTCCAATATCCCTTAATTAGGGAATATACCCTCAATCATATTAGTGATCCCTATTATAATTAAAGGTATATTCCCTAATTAAGGGATATTGGACTTTCTGGGAGGCTCTCAGTTAGGGTGTCGGGTTGAGGTTTAATGGCTACAGGTTTCGGGTTCACGTTCATAGTTTTCCAACTTCCAGGTTCGAGGTAGTTGTATTGGGAGTGGTAGGGACTTATGACTAAGTATGACCCTTCAGGCAAATGATTAAGCAAAACATCGTGGCTAAACAACAAAACATCCTGGTAGCTGCTTTTTAGTAGGAAATGGAGGAACGGATCCCTGCTTTAGCCCGTATATCTTACCCAACAACAAAGCAGCTTACATGTGAAGCGTTCCTCCTTTCGCTACAACCCAGGTGAGAAAAAGAGGTTTCATGTGTCATGGTCTAGAGAAGTGCTCGCGTTCTGCAAGATGGTCTTGGGTTTAGGGTCTAGGGCTTAGGGTAGAGGGCTTAGGCTCTAGGGTTTATAGTCTACTTTGGGGTAGAGGGTTACGGGCCTAGGGTTTAGGGTCTAGGGTTTAGGTTCTACGGTTTAGGGTAGAGGGTTTACGGTGGAGGGTTCAGGGTCTAGGGTTTGTCTAGGGGTTTGGGAAGATACGATACCGTCACCCAGACAAACATGAAAGCTGATATATGCTCCTCTTTTTGAACAAGGCAGTAGTCTCTGCACGCTGGGCTTCCATATCAATGTGGCACCCTGTGTAGTAGTAGATGACTTATAGTCTAAACTCCTAGCATCCCCCTTAATAGACCCCCATGATAGTCCCCTAGAGAATGCCCTATAAACCCCCGTTTAAGGAGTTTAGACTACAGCTCACATGATCATCTATAATCGCTCAAACAAAAACACACCTAGAAAGACTTCTCAGGGTGGTCAGTATACCAGCACTAGTACTAACATCAATTTAGATTTTAGGGTTTAGCTTCCAGAGCCTGAACTTAAAGCCTTAGTTTTTTAGCTGCTGAATCCTGAAATAACGTCCTAACTCACGTGTAACGATCCCCATATACACCATATTCTATCTATTCCAGGGGGACTATAACCCCCAAAACCTGGCCTTAAACCCTAGACCCTAAACCTCAAACGGGGCTTCTTCCAAACCATTGAAGTTCAACTTCCCAATTTACCAACATCCCCAAGGGGTCCAACACCACTTGACTGCTAAGATCCCGTAATCTTGCTTTAATGAATATATTCCATACTCAAGGGATATTCGGGTGCCTGGTCACCCTGAAGCCTAAACCCCACATGATAGAGCAACTACCATGTTCATCTCTCTTTAACATGGAAATTTGCGGCTTGCAAACAGATGGTCCCCCCGACCCCGCCTCCTCCCCCCAGGACCCCCCCTAAAAAAAACAGGTTTCGAGCAAAGATCCACCAAAAAAGGGGACACCCGTTTCATGAACGTCCTACATCAAACAGTGAATCCTAAATCGAAAAGCCCAGAAATCCTAAAATATCCTAAACCTTCAACACTAAGCCACCATATTGGGCTCTTAAGATGTCATCCTAGATCCTAAGCCCCTGAAATCCTAAACCTTCAACCCTAAGCCCCCTCATATTGGGCTCTTCCTAAACCCCTAAACCCTGAAACCCTAAAAACCCTAAACCCTATAAAGCCTAAACCCTCAAACTAAATCCTGAACCCTAAACCCTATAAACCCTAAACCCTATAAACCCTATAAGCCCTAAACCCCGAAACCCTAAGATGTCATTCCGAGTCACACAGCTGCTCTGGCATCTTTGGCCTGGCTTTGGCGACTTTACCTAAAGGTTCCAAAGCCCCGACTTTGAGATACTAACAAAAACAGGTGCCCTAAGGGACCTTAGGGATATGTTGGGGGGGGGGAGGGCGGCTGCAAGGGGTTTTGTGTCCCAAAAACGGGCGATATCGGGGTAGATAGGGGAATAGGCTAATATTAGCATGCGGGTGTCCCTAAACCCTAAACCTTAAACCATAAATCCTCGGCCGCAGGGGAATCCAGGGATTTGTAGAGATTATGGGAGTGTGTATTGGGGATTATACATGGGAAGTTTCTCTGCATATGGCTTTCAAACCCTAAACCCTAAACCCTAAACCGTGTGGCATATGGGATACTAAATCCAGCCGACTTGGGTTTGGGGGTTAGGATTTTTTGTGGGTTAAGGGTACGTTAAGGCCCCACCACCCTTGGCCCCCTACTACCCCTAAACCCTAAACCCTATACTACCCAGCCTACATTTTTTTCGGCTAGGTTCCCTCTTTGGGTAGGGTTACTTGCAGATAGTCAGGGCTGATTAAGGCCAGTTAAAGGGCAAACTGGGGGGGGTAGTAGGGGGGTGGTGGGAGAACCCCTGATACTACATCCCACGTCCCTCTAAGCAACCTGTTAGCACCCTCTACAAGGAACGGTGTGGGTTTAGGGCTTAGGGTCCTCAAGCAATCTAGGCCCGATATCCTCAGGCCCCATACATACACTCTTACCCCAACAGCGTAGGAACTCCTTGGACCCCAAGTATAGGTTCAGGGTTTAGGGCTTAGGGTTTAGGGTATACGTATCTGCAAGCTGTATGACATGTAAGCCTGAAGACGGAATAGACACCTGCATCCTCCCATAGCCAGAAAACATCCCGAAACCCGAAACCCATAGACCTCAAAACCCCAACAGTGTTATATATATATATATCTACAACGAAAGCCTCAGCGTTCAGCTTCAGAAATGCGGAACTCGGCACGCGGTGCACCCACCTTTCCGCAACTTTCACAACCCCACGGCTTTAGGGTTTAGAGTCTAAGGTTTGGAGTTGAGGGTTCAGAGTGTGTAGTTTGGGGTTTTGGGTCTAGCGTTTAGGGTTTAGAGTTTAGGGTTTAGAGTTTAGGGTTTTGAGTTTAGGGTTTTGAGTTTAGGGTTTCGAGTTTAGGGTTTGGGGCTTTAAGTTTGGGATTTGGACTTGGGGTTAGGGTTTGCACTCAGGGTCTAGAGTTCGTGTAGTGTTTCAGGGAGGGAATTCACCTTAAGTGCTCTTGTCTCCGGCTCCTTGAATAACTTGCTGGGCGAGACCTGGCCACCAACAATAGCTACATAGGAATTCCTTGATGTCCCATGTGTGTCCCGCACAGGTATCTGGACCTGCATTTTGGTTTACTTCATGGAAGCGCTTTGGAAATTCTGAATGGTCCATGCAGTTCCCCTGAGTCGCTTAGAGTTTAGGGAAAGGGGCGGCACGACTTGCCTTGCACTTGCCCGCTGAGGCCTGCAGGCTACTGCCAACTTTCAGGGCTCCGAGAGTTCAAGGTTCCGCAGTGAATGTGTCAGGGTTTTAGGATTTAAGGTTTATAGTCCCCATTAAGTAGATAGAATAGAGGGTATATGGTATATGGGGATCTTGTTATAACATACCCAAAGCCATATTCTGTCTACCTAGGGGGACTATAAGGTTTAAGGGCTTCAGGAAACATTCCATATCCTTATAGCAATCTTCACTAGCCGTCCTTGTGCTATCGCAGGCCGCAGCAGCACGCAGCCCGACTACTGGTCCTAGTATAAAATCACTGCACAGAACACCCTGCCGGCCCCAATTTGGGGGCCTAAATGCTTGAAACAATAGAGATGTTAGCAGTTTGCACCCTGGCACACTACTGGTTGGGGTTTGTGGGTTTCCAGAAATTCCGGACCCCTTCTAGAGGGTTATCTGGCGTTATAGAGGAACGTAAAGTTCAGGAACTCCATTTCAGGGTCTCCTACAAATCAGGTGGTTCCTGTTTTGGAAATACCCTCCCCCATACTAAGCAGGAATGCCCGAAAGGATGCTGTAAAGATTACGGCCCTTCAGAACGGCATTATCTGGTTATACGTGTTAGTTTCCCTAAGCCCTAGACTCTAAACCCCAAAACCTTAATTCAGACGAGGGCAACTCTTTGTGTATGTGGATCCTACAGGAGGCTCTCACTTCTATTCCCTGCTTCTCAACACAAGTGTTGAACGCCTTTAGGAATTGATAGGGGGTATGTAAGGATAGTTATAGCCGAATGGAGAAGGCCAGGAAAAGGACATGCAAACTGGGACTTTATGGGGGGAGGGTCGGATGTTTGTGCGGGTGTTTGGGAGGGCCGTTGCACTAGAAGCCCGAATTACCACCCTCTACTTCCACCTGTGATTAGGTACCCCCAAAACCTATTCTAATTGAATTAATGGTCCCCTAACACACCATGGAGCTCCCGGCATTTCGTTTCAGTACTGGACATAGGAAGGGGGAGACTTCAAAAACCCTAAGGCCTAAACCCTGAACCTAGAGACCGTACTGGACTAGGGGCCAAGAAAGGGACCGAAGTGTTGATAACCCGCCAAATCACATGTCAACCCTAAAACTTATAGTCCCCCTCAAGTAGATAGAATATGGGGTATATGGGGATCTTCTTGTAATACACCCGAAGCCATATAATATCTGCTTAAGGAGGACTATAAAGCCTAAACCCTAAGAAAGGGCTGAAATCGCCATGAAGGAAGGGAGCGGAAGTTACCCACAAGCTGTCTTAACGGCCCAAGTACCCAGCAAGACATCAATTGTGCACAGCACATCAATCTTGTAATCCGCTTTTGCCCAAACACCCTAAACCCTAAAAATATGTACAATAATGGCCCTAAACCCATAACAAAGGCCATAAAGGCCATTGTTTTGCATACTTTTGGTGTCCAGGTACATACTTGGTAGTTTCCCAAAATGAGGGGACCCCAATATAGGTCCCAATATACTATAATCCTTATTATGGGGTCCTCCATAAAGGTACCCATAATTTTGAGAAACTCCCACTTCTTAGGTTTCTAAGGTCCCTTGCGGATGGTCCTCAATCCAGCCGAGCCACGTGGTGTTGAAGTTGCCCTTTGCAGGCTTGGTCCTTGCTCTCAACTGGGTGGGTTTAGGGCTAAGGGTGGGTTTAGGGTTTAGGGTGGGTTTTCATGCTTCATTCAGGGGCTATGGTTTATAGATAGGGTTTCTAAATCCACGGAGCGCCGCCATAAGAGAACTCGGGGCAAGATGAACTACCCACCAGCGAGCGTTTTGGGATGCTTCGGGCTCGCAGCCTGGCTCATAGTCCATTTTTTTCAGCAGAGAAGCTCCCGAACAAGGGTTCCTCGTTTCAAACCCAATTTTCGCGGTCTGGGACGGTAAAGTTGTTTGAGCAACAGGATTCGGGCCCTCGCCCCTTCAGTGTCCTTGGCACCGGGATTTTGGCAAGAAATCGTCTCTCCCCCATAGTTGGGTAGGTGGGGGCGGGGAGGGGGTGCATTCTTTGAGGAGGGAAAGTTCGCCTCTGGAGCTTGACAGACGAACACGAAGCTGAGGCATTGCTTGAAAACCCTACCCTAAGGGTCCAAGGAGTCAAATAACAGAGCTTCAGGGCCCAAATACCATTTACAGCATAGTATATGGGCCCTAAAACACTGTTATTTGGGTCATTGGATTTTTAGGGTTAGTCTTCAAATTCTGAAACCATGGCCCCTACACCGTTTCGAACTGGAATCCACCCTCTTTTGAAGGATCTGGGAGTTTTTTGTCCCACTTAAGTAGATAGAATATAGGGTATATGGGTGGGTCTTGATATAATATACCCAAAGCCATATTCTATCTACTCAAGGGGAAATATAAACACAGTAGGAGACGAAATCCCCCGAATTACCTTGACCATGTAGTATCCCTGAAGCAGCCCTGTATCGCAAGGCTCCTTAGGCCCCTTTAGCAATCTATGGGTCCCACAACACAAGCCGAAGCCCCACGCATGAACACCACTGTGTCAATTGAAGGCTGAGATCAAGGTATGTCTTAAACCATATGACAGACAAAACCCCAAACCCTAAACTTTAGCATACGGGTCATATCAATCCTTTTTGGGATCTTGAAGTGCGTCCAGAATCCCAGAGGTTCTTGAACATTCCCCTGTCGGTTTATGGTGTAGGGTGTTGGGTATAGGGTTTAGAATTCTGTGTGTCATATTAACCAAGATGGCTTGGAGGATGTCACATGGAAAGGTGAACATACCCCAAGGGACGTAAAGTTAGACAACAATCACCTGAGCATTGGAAAGCTCATCAACACCTACCTAGCATGTTGCTATTCCAAATCGGTAAAAAAGCACAAATGAACCTTGCTGGGAAGTCTACAAGCCTCTCGCCCCCAAACGCCAACCCGAAATCGTACTAGTAGATCCCTATTGCAGGATGCCCTGAACCTTACACCTAATTTCAAGAAACCACTGACGGCCTGTCCTATGTATACGGAAGCTCCCGTTGTGCGGAAACCTGCAGCTCAACAAATCTGCAGGGACTTTACTTCAGGTACTTTACTGAAGGAGGTTTAGGGTTTGCGCTCCTAAATACCTACATGTCCCAGAGGGTCCATATATACAACTATTAGGGAATTAGGCCCCAAAGTACCATACTATATAAGGAATTATGGGTCCCAATTCCCTAATGGTTGTATATGTGGACCCTCTGGGTGTATAAAGCAAAAGAGGAGAACCAGCTGGAAAACAAACAGAACATCTATGGACACTTGGGTGCACATAGGGCTTCACGGATAGCTACTTAGTGGATTGTGTCCGAAGATCTTACGTCCCTGTACAGGGTTGACATAATACTTAAGGGTTACATATTGAGTTGAAGCTAAAAACAAGCACAGTATGAATTTTATGGTTTGACGAGTTAAGATCTGCTAGACAAGTACATTACGAAACACTACTGCAAGGACTACAGGCTATAACCTGGCTGTAGCCCAGGTTTTTGTTTTGAAAGCAGCGCCCCAAAAATAGCCAACATGTTGACATACCCGGCCACCCCACCTCTTCCTAACGTTAGGGTTTAGGGTTTACTGATGCGTTTAAGGTGCACCTAGTTCAGGGACGAGCGGCGGATAACAGTTCATCTCTCCACCGATGACCACTGGCCAAACCTCATACTTGCCCAGACAGTCCAATATCCCTTGATTAGGGAATATGCCTTAAATCATAGTAGGAGTCCCAGTATAATTGGAGGTATATTCCCTAATAAAAGGATATTGGACTTTCTGGGTGGGTTTCAAGAACCCTGGAAGTTCTGTCCAGGCTTTGCAGTTTGGGAAAAAGTCCGTGGCTGAGTATGCTGTTATTGTAATCACCAGACAGGCAATGATTCGGGGCTCCCTAAACCCTAAACTAAACCCTAAACCCTAGAACCCTAAACCCTGAACCGCGTAGACTTAAAGCGCCAGGGATCCCGTCAACTATCTACATAAGCCCCACGCAACCTCTGTATAACCCTAAGCCAAAAACCCTATACCATAGATCCCCACGACAATCCTAAACCCTTACCCTAGAACCCTAAACCAAAAACCCTAAACCCTAAACCCTAAACCCAAAGTACGGTTTCAACGAGGGACCCCAGAATGAGCCGCCGAAGGGGCAGCGAGCTCCTTGCGCGCGAGTATTTCATGCGTTTAGGGTTTAGGGTGTATACATGGTAATAAGTTTCATCAGTCCTAATTATGGGATTTCTATGTATACTTAGGTAGTAGGGGCCACACCCCGAAGAGCTTAGGGTGTACAGGATTTAGGGCTTGTGGGTTTACGTGCTTACTGTTTAGGGATTCAGGATTTAGGGTTGAGCTGTTGGGGTCATAGGGCTTTGGGCTCTGCTTTCGGGATTTAGCGTGAAGTGTCAATATCCAAAGCCCTAAACGTTCCCAAGTATCACATAATCAGTTAGTATGAAGTAGGGTTTCCACGCTAAAGCTAGTTCATAACACGATTTAGATCTGTACCCCCTAAATGCCCCATATACCCTAAACCCTAAACCCCAAAACCCTAAACCTAAACATACAGGTACTTAGGAGCCTTGGACCATGGTTCATGCAAGTAGTTTCTAGTGTCTTAAGGTCTGTTGGAGTGTTCAGGTTTAAGGCCAGATGAGCTATATACCTGGACCCCAAAAGTATGTAAAACAATGGCCTTTGTGGCTGTTATTATGGATTTAAGGCTAGTATTTTACATACTTTGGGGGGTTAGGTAGTCTAAACTCCTGGCCCCCCCCCTAACAACCGCGAGAATACAATTAGGGTTTAGGGATTTAGAGTTTAGGGATTGAGGGTTTAGGTATTCAGGGTTTGGGGATTTAGGGTTTAGGGATTTAGGGCTTCGGGATTTAGAGCTTAAGGATTTAGGGCTTAGGAATTTAGGGTGTAGAGGTTTGGGGCTTTAAAGCATAACGTAAGGGCTTCTATTTCTACCAATCATGTTCTATCTCTTGTCCGTGTGATTCTCCACTCCTCAAAGGAAGAGATCCCAAACCCTTGATAAACTAATCATGCCCCTGTACAAGGGTAGGTTCGGGGCTCTATAGAGAAGAATGTTTTGTGGCTTTATAAGGGTCATATAGGGGTTCAGGGTAGAAACTTAAAACCTGCCACTGTTACCGTCCCCGTGTTTCTAAATGAATCGCTTCAACCCTAAACCCTAAACCCTAAAAAATGAGCCTCTAAAGCTTAAACCGCTTCAACGCAGGCTCCTGATATGTGGAGACCATGTCTTCCAACGAGCCTTGGAGCGCGCTGAACCCCAGCCACTCAATGCGACGAGGAACTTGGAAACCCCAAGCCCTAAAACGAGGACCAAATGGGGCTCGTATTGGGCTTAGGTTTGATAAGCCGAGGGTCTTGGTAACCCCAAGCCCCCAATTAGTTTGGACCCTCTCATAGTTAGACTTACTCAAATGGGTACTTCAGTATCTATTGCTAGCCCAAGACATATATACATGTATGACACTCTCAAAAAAGGCGCCCTGTATAAACACTTGAGAACATTCCTTGAGAACCTTCGCTGTCTATTAGCGGACACTACCTTGTTGATTTCATGGGCACTCTACCCAAACTCTCAACCCTAAACCCTCAACCCTCAACCCCACAACCTAAACCCCAAACCCTAAACCCTAAACCCCAAACCCTAAAAGCTAAACTCTATTGCCCTGGGTGTTGGCCTTTATTTCGGGAACAACTGTTCGGACGAGGAGGAAACAACCATCATGGAGAATTCTATCCTGCCATGGTAACAATTATTATCCCCCTTAAGTAGATGGAATGTGGCTTTGGGTATATTACAATAAATCCCCATATACCAAAATATTCTATCTACTTTAAGGGGGACTATAACAAGCCTTGGCACTCCTGTCAACCTCCAGCATAGCAGTTGTTGATGCTAAGCCGCATCCAACATCTGTGCAGCTCATCCTTTACTGACTGCCTGTAGCGACGATCCGAAGCCATGGACCAAGGGTCCCATGTGCGACTTTAGTGAAATACACACCGCAGCCCTATGTTCAGATTTCAGGCTCCTCCATACGGTCATTGTACAACCCCATATAAGCCGTAGTCAAGCTCCTAGTATGCCCCTTAATAACCCGCTGAGTAATCCCCTACATAATCCCTTACGTAACCCGCTTCAAGGAGTTGAGAATCTGGCTCATATGCAGCGTTTCCACTCCATCCCATTTTCCACCTAATTCCATACGCTAAGCTCCGTTGCCAAGCCACGCTGGAAAAAGAGGTCGAAAGCGTCAACCACTGCCTACCATGCTAGTGAGCGTGGAAGGATCGGAAAGTTTTCAACTTTAAGTTTAGGGTTTAGGGTTCAAGGTGCGGATGGTTGGATGTGGAAGGATGGAACGCTATGGTCGTCTCCATGTAACCTAGAGAACTTAACAACCACCAGTGGTGCTTTTCACCATAATGAAGGTCTCTGAGATTTGGGGTGGTTTTGAGGTTGAGGATTCTAGCAATTTCAGGGGTTGGGGAGTTAAAATGCTTTGCGTAGAAAAGCTCCACAGTCCCTAAGGTTTAGGCAAATGCGGTCATGCAGAATCTTTTGGTCTGTCAGCCGTGTGCAAGAGCCTTCAGAACCTGAACCCTAAACCCAGTTGTGTGCCGAGGGTATCAGGTTTAGGGTATGTAGGGCCTACCTTAAGAAGCTTGCAGTGAGAAAGGGAAACTGTGGCACAGCCATTATGAGGACAGTTGGGCTATAGTCTACACTCCTAGCATCCCCCCTAATAAGCCCCAAAATCGTTCCCTGTATAATCCCCTTTAAGGAGTTTAGACCCTAAACCCTAAATCCTCAACCCGAAACCCTGAATCCTGGACCCTAAATAATCCACTATATAACTCCCCTTTAGCTCATATTACGCAACTGTTGGGCTCCTGATGTAGCAGCTTGCCACTTACAAAAACCAAAGCACATATATTTGGCTAAGGGTTTAGGGGTCTAGGGTTTAGGGGTTTAGGGTTTAGGGGTTCAGGGTTTAGGGGTTTAGGGCTTAGGGTTTCAGCCCCGCCGCTCACGCATACCTTCAGCCCAAATTGCTGAGTTCCCCACGCCAAGTTGCTTATATACAGTTTCCTACCCCTAAGGGTCCAAGTACCCAATATTTAGGTACTTGGGATTTGGGTAATAGTAATTATAGTATAGGTTTCGGGTAAGTATATGATTATCAGGTACTTGGACCCTTAGGGTACTATACAAAAAGATGCTAGGAACCCCCAAACCCCAAAGTGCACCTCCCAGTTACAAAGTTTAATGAGTCCCATACATGCAGCACAGGCCCGCAATTGACTGGCTAGCTGTCGGAGGCCCTATGGGGAGGCCAGCATGGAGGCCCGTTTGATTGGCAGCTTATGTGAGCCCCCTTCTGGGCTTAGCTCCCTTAGGGGGCACATAAGGGTTTCCATGAAAAAAAGGGCGCAGTCGAAAACTACAATCCTCATTGGAAGTACTCTTAACAGGGGGACCTTGAAATTGATCCCCCCATGCTAAGCCCTCAACCCTAGACCCTATGGCCTAAAATCCTCAACCCTGAACCCTCAACCCCAAACCCTGAGCCCCAAACTCTAAACCCTGAACCCTAAACCCTAAGCCCTAAAACCTTAAACCCTAAACCGCCAAGCGTCCACAATTGTGTCAGGCTGGAAGTGCTTCAAGCCTCTCCTGGGCTGCTATCAAGGAACTTTTAGGGTATAGGGTTTAGGGATTAGGGTTTAGGGATTAGGGTTTAGGGTCCAATATCCCTTAAATTATAATAGGGATCACTAATATGATTTGGGGTATATTCCCTAATTAAGGGATATTGGACTTTCTGGGTATCAAGGAACTTGAATTATGTTGCCATAATTTGGGCATATTGGGTATGGGTTTTAGGGTGTGAGGTTTAGGCTTTAGGGTTTAGGGTGTCAGTTACCATACTATGGGTATACAGTACACAATTCATAGGGTTTCTTTGTTACAGTGATCTCCAAGATGTTGCTTAACAGCAGCCCAGTCTCTGAAGAGCGCCATTGAAGATGTGGAAGAACCTGAGACAAGGGAATTCAAGCCGCACATTCAACCTCAAAACTTTTCTCCACCGTCAATTCTTCCCTAGAACCTTAAACCCCAAACCCTAAACCCTAAATCCTAAACCCTAACCCCTAAACCCTTAAACGCCAAGGTGTAGGTTTAGGGCTTACAGGCAGTTTGTCACGGTCAACATGCCCAGCGCTGCTTGGAATTCAGGCCAAAGACTTTTGGGATTTTGGGTTTAGGGTGTAGCCGGTGAGCTTACGTGACGGACTTCGCTACATGAACGCTCAGAATTCAACCGACATCTGCTAGATCCGTGACAGAATAGCGACCAAGCAAATCCAACAAAGAAGGACCCAAGGGTTCAGCGGCGATCACATGGGGATGTTGTGGGTGCCTGCGCGCGCTTTCACAAAGGGTTTAGGGTTTAGGGCTTCGAGTTTGAAGTTTTTTTTGCTAATGCCGGGCGCGCGGTAACTCTGCGAAGGGTGAGAGCATCAAGGCCATAGATGAGAGTGGGTACAAACACAGCTTGAAAGATTTTTAGTCTTTCTTTATAGGGTAGGTGGCTATTCCAGACTAAGCGAAGTTTTTTGTATGCTGCTTCTGCCAAAGCTGCTCTATGCTTGAAAGCAACGTCAAAAGGTTTATCCCAAGAGATCATGGAACCTAGATACTTAACCTGAGTTGTGGTGAAAGAAAATCGGTGCTGGCAATGGGCGCTTGGCAGTATGATCCAGCGGTCGAAGGAGCCTGTTTGCCTGCCGTCGCCAGCGCCCTTGGCCTGCGCCGAATTGCTCCAGTGGCACTAAGGGGGCCAACAAGATGACCGCATCGGTGCCGTCGCGGTGGATTGTGTGCATGGTGCACCAGCCAATCCCAAATGGCAACTGCACTGGCAGTCTGACGAGGCCGGCGAGCCGCACTGGCGGACCCGCAGCGGTGACCACCTCACCGGGCCGCAGTTGAGCAATGTTTGGCGAGGTGAGCTCGACACCCGCCCGAACGACCAAGAGTTTGAAGTTTAGGGTTTTGGGTTCGGGGTTTAGGGTTTAGGGCAGGAAGGCGAGGGTTTTGGGTTCCAGGTTTAGGGTTAATGGGTGCGTCTCAAGAATGCAGTTTGCATAGCCACAACGACTTGATCGGCACCCTATGGAAACGGGGGGTCTGGATGGAATTATCCTGCCGTGAAACGAGCCTTTATGGGGATATGGATCATAGGGGTATGGAACCGAAAAGGTCTGTATATTCCATACCCTATGGATCTCCGTATGGAACGAATGTCCCAGCACAACCTGCTCCATATCCCAGATGCCAGAGAGCAGACGCATTTCCTCTGCATCGAAACCAGTGCAATTTCAACTGCGCATAGGTCTTTGCAAAAGCACACAATCCCCTAAACCCTGAACCCTAAATCCTAAGTATATGCACAGAAGAACCGGAAACATAGCGCTGGAAACCCAAGCCCGGAGCATAGACCCTCCACTGTTGCACCGCAACCCCTATAAACCCTAAGCCCTTACGTCTATGAACTTGCATACTACCCAGAAAGCCCAATTAAAGGAGACCATATATACAAAAGATCTTCTATCTGCAGCCCACAGCGCCATTCATAGCCCCTTCAATCCTCCCCAACAACCTTAGTCTAAGCCCCAAAGCCCCCGAAACCTAGAATTAAAAGAAACACCAAGGCATACACCCTCACAAAGCTCAATATCCCTGAGTTAGGGTTTAGGGTTTAGGTATACCCTAAAATCAGTTGAGGGATCCTAGTACCAGTTAGCGTATATTGGGTATATTCCCTAATTAAAGGGCATATACCTTGAGTCATTTGAGGGATCCTAATACTATTTAGGAGAAATTGGGTATATTCCCTGATTAAAGGAGATGGGGCTTCCTTGAACCATTAACAAACTATATGCCGAGGTGCTCAGTTCTTTCCCAACCCTTGCAGGGCATAAGGTTTTGGGGATCATGCTAGGACCTATACAGGTTAGGGATCTATATAGGTTAGGGGGTCTCTAATAGTTGAGGGTTCTACATAGTTTAGGGTTCTATAATCTTTAGGACTCTATATAGTTTACGGTTTACTGTTTAGGGTGTTCGGTTTGCAAAGTAAGCTTGCAGGTCCAAGTGCCTCATTGTCATTTCTTGGGGCTTAGGGTGTGGGATTTAAAGTTTAGGGTTGAGGATTCAGGGTTTAGGGTTGGAAATTTAGTGTAAAGGGTTCTGGTGCCGTCTGTTTGGAGCGTCACATCCACCGCAAATTGACAACAGCACCACTTTTAGGGCAGATGTGAAGGTCAGCATTTAGGAGATAAATACTCCTTCGCACACCCAAAGCAAGCGGTAGCCGACGGTGTGCAAGACTAATTGACATGAACTTTAAACAGCTCACTTTGTCTTCATGTTCTGCTATTCTGCCTACTGACTGAAGTGGAGCACTTCTGCCAATGATCCTACAGCCCTTAAACTATTAATATCCAAGCCTGAGATACGGCAAGTTTGAGACCCTTTCCCAGAGGGTTCGAGGTACCTAAATAGTCAAAGTATTGTCTCTGTACTAGGAACTTCCTTTATGGATTGGGTAAGTGCGTCCTATACGGGTACTTAGGACCCTTTGATTTTTCTATACAAAGCACCATTTGGGGTGAAGTTAGGCGATGATCCAGGGTACAATGCGGGCAAAGGGCATGGAAATGCTCTCGTAAGCGGCCTTTAGTAAACCATACACCCAAACTAGGATCCTACCCTAAACCCTAAATAGCCCCAATCCTCTGCAAAGAAAATCAACTTGCAGAGGGTTTTCGGTCTTCGGGAATCAGGTGCCACGGCGAACAGCACATAGCATAGGTTTAGGACTAAGTTTTTTGGCGCCCCACAATTACCTATATCATGTTGAGGTCTATGTAGTACATGAAGAATGCACGAGAACGCGGAACATGAAATGGAAGCTGTGTAAATAAGTACCAGTGTCCTTTAGAGGGAGCACGGAACCACCATGTTGGCAATTATTGAGGCTGCTATATAAGGTCTCCGAAGTGTGGCTCTCTTGCGCTCGAACACTGCCTGTCCTTGTCGATCTCAATCCTAAACCCCAACAGCCAACAATTGAGGAACCTGGGAATTACATGACTAGTGCAATCTTAAGAGGTGCATCATGTTCTACATCTACCGTTCCTACATAATCCTCATGTAATCACTCATAAGCCCTATACCGTAGCTCCATGCAAAGG